CGCGAGCGCCTCCTTGCACCCAGCCGTCTCGCAGTCATCGAAGTCGTCGATGTACACACTCCACCACTCGCGAGGGCCCTCATGAGACAGGGGAGCAGCTGCAGCGGCGGGGATAGGACGGTCGCGCCGCCACTCCAGGTCAGCTGGGAGGGCGGCGCCAGCAGGGCGACCCAGAAGCGCAACCCGCCGGTGGACGCTCTGGAAAATGGGAACGCTGTACACCCAGCCCATGGGCAGCACTGTCATGGCCAGCCACACCTCCTTGGCCTTCATGCCAAGAACATGGCCGGGGACTGGGGTGCAGATCGCCATGTAGCCCAGCAACGGCGCAGGGATGCGGTACATGAAGAAAGCTCCCTTCTGGTCGTCCCCACTCCAGAGCAGCACCTCCCCGGGGCCAAGGGAGATGCTTACCCACGCCGGCGAGGGTACCAGAGTCACTGAGTCCCCTGCCAACGGTCGAAGGTACGTATTCGTCGGGACCATGTTGAAAATCGAACGCGTCACTCTGACCTCCCTCAGCTGGGGACCCCGACTTTGTCACGGCAAACAACCAATTTGTGACGCGTCGGCCGAGGGCCACAAAGATGCGCTCAGCTGGTATAGGGGCCAGCGGTCCACGCTCCACCAGCTTGGCAGCGATGGCCCACCAGTCCTCCAGCTTCTCGACGTTGACCTTTGCCTTCGGAGGCGACTCGGGCCACTCGGCCTCCGGCAAGAGCGACATCTCGGGTTTGGTGAGCACCTCCTTGAGCTCTGGCCCCACATAGTCCAGCACGTCCAAGCGGCCGATATCTTCGGCTTTGGGAAGGCCGGGCTCAAGCTCGCCGAACTTCAAGGGGAGCGCCCGACAGTCCTCCTCCAGATCGTAGCTCGACTTCGTCTTCTTCATCTCCTGAGGCCAGAACAGGATGTCCACCGCCGCCAACGCGTCGCCCACGCGCCACTCGACCGTCTCACCGATCACACGTAGGCTGGCGGCCTGCACCTCAGAAAGGCGCTCGGCTGCTTCCCAGCGGTCCTTGCTCAGGTGCCCAAGGTAAAGGTAGTTCAGGCCCAGCACGCTCAGGAAAGTCCACACCTCGACCGCCATGGCTTGGGCCTCCTTCTTCAGAGCAGCTGGCCACGTCGTAACATCCACGGGGGATCCCTCACCGTCCAACATTCCTCTTCTCTTCAGATCACGTTCCCAAGCGAAAAAGGTTGTCGGTTCCCTTACTGGCAGGGGCAGCACATCACGCCCGACACCAGCCTCCGGCGATTGTGGCGCGACGCCCACAGGGAACCTTCTAGCGAAATCTCACATGCAACTTGGTATTCTCCTGACACTGGTGAGGATCCCGAAACCGATCTCCAGCATTGTCATTTGGCTTGGGCCGCTGCGGCACATGCGCGAGGCGATGTCCGCCTTCCACTGGCCCAACGTCAGCGCGGCCACCTCGCTGCCGATAGCCGCGTCACTCATCGCGCTCAATGCTTCAGCACGACCCGCCTCTGCGGCTCGCTCGGCTTCGCCGCGTTCTTGGCCGACACCCGGCGCTTGAAGAACTGCGACGCGATCCTCTTCTTCAACTGCCGCCTGGACTCCCCCTCGGCACGCGGAGTCTTCGCGCGCGCCGCCGCCCACGCTGACAGGGGCTTCCCGCCCGCCGCCTGGGGGGCCGGGCGGTCTGTCAGCGCGGGCAAGCCGCCCCCCGACGGGGGATCGGCGCGGCCCGCCTCCAGGGCAGGAGCCCGACCCCTGGGCGGCTGCACTCCCGAGCGGCTGCGCAACTCTGCGGCGTCCGCGGCAGTGCCGATGCGGGTGATCGGCAACGCTCTGCTGTCTGGGCTTCCACCACGGCTCGGGCCTGCAGGGCGGTCGGCCAAGCTCTCGCCGCCGCCCCGGCCAGACCCCTAGCCGCGGCCCCCGAGGCGCCCGAGCAGCTGGGCCATGCGCACCTCGGCGGCCTCGATGCCCGTGACGAGCTCCTCGTCCTCAACTGAGAGGCTCAATCCACCATTGTCGGGGGGGGTGAGCTCGAACCACTTCGCCGTCCTCGAATGGCCATCCCGCATGGCCGTCTGGATAGCCTTGATCCTGCAGAAGATGAAGTCCAGGGCGTGAATGGGCTTGCCTGAGACTATGAGGTCCGCACTCTCCGCGAGCGTCCGCAGCTCGCGGTACCGGTCCTCACCAATCTCACGAATGGGGTGCGCGGGCTTCCAAGAACTTGAGCGCCACGGGGCTATGCTTGTTCACACCTCCAGCATCATCATGGTCCAGAAACTGCGCCATGTTCTCCATCTCCCTCTCCGAGAGGCGCCCTGGATGCTTCTCCGCTATCTTCTTGTACGCGAGGCGGCGGGCCGCCACAGGGCGCCCGCCAGGGACGCGATCATCATCACTGTCAAACAGGCAGTCGTCGTCGTCGCCCTTCTGACTCAGGTACTCGGCGAGCGTCTTCAGCACTGCCCGCTCGCCTGAGCCGCGAGCACGACTGCCATCTGCTGGACCAGCAGCGGCAGCACTCGGCGCCTGTCCAGTCATCCTCGCCTGGACCACCTCGCCGAGCTTGGCCTTCTTGGTGGGTGCGGCGGCCGTGGCCCCGCCCGCAGCGGCCTCCGGACCGCGCACTGTCGCGAGCTTCTCCCGCAACTTGTTGAGGCGCTCCAGGTAGCCGTCCTTCGCCGAGCTCTTCGTCCCCTCGGACTTGCCTGAGAGCGCTGCGAGCTCCCTGTCGAGCTCAGCGAAGGCGTCCGCGTCCGCCTCGTCGGCCTCCTCGTCGCCGTCGAGCTCCACCAGGTCGCCCCCAGCCTTGCCTACGCCAGCGGGGCGCTTCCTGGCCGGGCCAGCGAAAGCGGCGCGACTCGGCGGCGGCTCCTCGTCCTCCTCAGCCGCCTCAGCCTCATCTAAGGCGGCCTGAGCGACATCAGCCGGCAGCTCGGGGCAATCCTCATCGTGCTGGAGCACTGCCATGTGCCGCTCGGCTGCCTGAACGGCCGTGAGCCTCTGGGGCGCTCTGGTGTGGAACACCTGGCACCCCGCCCGCGGTGCCGTGTAGCGACATCGCGAGACTGGCCCACGGCACACGTGTAAGATCATCTTCTCTCGCTTCGCAATCCGTGAGTTAAGCCACCATGACAGGTATTGGTCTCCAGCAGCAAAGTATTCCACTTCGTAGGCGGTGCCCCCTGGGTTGTCCGACATCACTCTGCGCACCACGCCAACCACAGAGCCCGCGTCGGACCCATCATCATGCAAGACGGGATGTCGGAAGCACTCGCCCGGCATAAGCACTGTCGGGCGTTCGTCCGCCATCAGCACCTGATCGGACGAGCACCAGTCGAGGTCAGGGGGCGCGGAAAGGTGCACGGTCAGAGTGCCTGAAGCGCTCGAGCTCCAGACCGCAGGACCTGACCTGCGGCGCAGCCGCTTGAGCCGTACACCTACGGAACGATCGAGTGAAGGAGTGTTCACCCTGAGCTCTCTCGAGGCCCGTCGGGCGAACACTGTATCACCTGCTCGCTCGACGGCGGCGCTTTGCCTAAGAGGTCCAAACATACGCCCAACCCCGAGGGTGTTATGTTACATCATCATCATCATCATCATCATCATCATCATCATCATCATCATCATCATCATCATCATCATCATCATCATCATCATCATCAGCATCATCATCATCATCATCGTCATCAGCATCCTCATCGTCATCACCATCACCATCACCATCATCAGCAGCATCATCGTCATCATCAGCATCATAATCAGCATCAGCATCATCATCATAAGCATCAGCATCATCAGCATCAGCATCATCATTGTCATCATCCGCCTCCTCCTGCTGCCTCATCCCTCCTTCCTCATTCCTCCTTCCTCCTTCTTCATTCCTCCTCCTCATCCTCCCTCCTCCTCCCTGCTCTTCCTCCTCCGCTTCTTCATATTATCATTAATAATATTAGTAGTAGTGGTAGTAGTCTTATGATTATGTTTATCATCATTATTATGATTATTCTTATTAGTTTTCCGCTTCCTCTTCCTCGTCCTCTTCCCCCTCCTCTTCCTCCTCCTCATCCTCCTCCTCCTCCTCCTCCTCCTCCTCCTCCTCTCCCTCCTCCTCCTCCTCTCCTCCTCGCTCCTCCCCCCCCCCTCCTCCTCCTCCTCCTCCTCCTCTCCTCCTCCTCCTCCTCCTCCTCCTCCATCCTCCTCCGTCCTACTCCTCTCCTCCTCCCGCCTCTCTCCTCCTCTCTCCTCACTCCTCACTCCTCACTCCTCATCCTCCTGATCCTCCTCCTCTAATCCTTCCTCCTCCTCCCCCTCCTCCTCCTCCTCCTCCCCCTCCTCCTCTTCTAAATATTATGTGTATGATTCTCCACCTCCTCCTCTTCCTCCTCCTCCTCCTCCTCCGCCTCCTCCTCCTCCTCCTCCTCTTCCTCCTTCTGGTCGATCGAGGATTGACGATCGAGGCTCGCGGGTCGAGCGTTCGGGGGTCGAGGCTCGCGGGCTCGCGGGCTCACGGGGTCCCCTTCACGTGAGAGGCAGCGCGTCTGGCCTACGGATGAGGAGGACGCGGATGCTCTCCCCTCCTTCCACCTCCTCCCCCACCTCTAGGCCACCCTCCCCCTTCTCCTCCTCCCCCTCTCCCCCTCGTCCTCATCGTCTGAGCCTTCATCATCCTCGTCCTCGTCCTCGTCCTCGTCATCGTCGTCGTCGAGGGGGGGCGACACGACATATATCCAGGGGATCACATCGCTCATGTCTTCGAGAAGAATGCGTGCGATGCCCGCCCACTAACACCTCCTTCACCTCCTCGGCGTCCTACTCCTCATTCGCCTTCTCCTCAGTTCGCCTCCCATTCCCCTCCGAAGCTCCTGGAGGCCTTCGAGGGCCTCAGACTACAAACTCATCCTTCGAAAGACTCCGAAGGCTTCAAGCTCATCCTCCTGCCTGTTGTTCTTATCATTATTCCGCGTCCTCGATTCTAAGCCTCCTTGACCTCCTCCACCTCCTCCTCGGCCTGCGAGTCCAGGGAGCCCATCCACTGCATGGGCTCCACGAAGACGGAGGTGCAGGACTCCGAGGCACCGTCAGCGTTCTCATCCAGCGTCCAGTTCCTGGAGGCGTGGCGTTCAGCAGTCACTGGAAGAGGGAACCAACACCACGTCGTCGTGTCATCGTCGCCGTCCTCCTTCTCTCCTCCTCGTCCTCCGCCTCCTCCTCATCATCCTCCCCGTCCTGCTCCTGATTCGCTTCCTCCCCCTCCTACTTCTCATTCGCATCCTCTTCCTCCTCCTCATGATCATCATCATCAGCATCATCATCCTCCTCTTCCTCCTCCTCGTCCTCCTCCTGATCCTTCCCGTTCCCCTCTTCCTCCTCCTCCTCCTCCTCCTCCTCCCCTTCCTGCTCCTGATTCGCTTCCTCCTCCTCCTCCTCCTCCTCCTCCTCATCATCATCATCATCATCAGTCGCATCCTCTTCCTCCTCCTCCTCCTCTCCTCCTCCTCATCCTCCTCCTCCTCATCATCATCATCAGCAGCAGCAGCATCATCATTATCATCTCACATCCTCCTCATCATCATCATCATCATCATCATCATCATCATCATCATCATCATCATCATCATCATCATCATCATCATCATCATCATCATCATCATCATCATCATCATCATCATCATCACCAGTATCAGTATCAGCACCATCACCCTCTTCCTCTTCTTGTTCCTCTTCTTCCTCCTTCTCCTCCTGCTCCTCCTCCCCCTCCTCCTCCTCCTCCGCCTCCTCCTCACCCGCCTCCTCTTCCTGTTTGTCTATAGACCAACCGACAACTCAAAAAACACGGGCGCCTCGCAATTTGACAGCTACTTAAACTGTCCGATAAAGTCCCGGAGGAATCCTATGAAAGAATCGACTGCCATCCTCCTCCTCCTCCTCCTCCTCCTCCTCCTCCGCCTCCGCCTCCGCCGCCTCCGCCTCCGCCTCCGCCTCCGCCTCCGCCTCCGCCTCCGCCTCCGCCTCCGCCTCTCTCCTCCTCCTCTCCTCCTCCTCCTCCTCCTCAGCTCCGCCTCCGCCTCCGCCTTCTCCTCCTCCTCCTCCTACTCCTCCTCCTCCTCCTCCTCCTCCTCCTCCTCCTCCTCCGCCTCGCCTCCGCCTTCTCCTCCTCCTCCTCCTCCTCCTCTCCTCCTCCTACTCCTCCTCCGCCTCCTCCTCGCCTCCTCCTCCTTCCTCTCCTTCCTCCTCCTCTCATCTTCTACTGATTTCGCCTCCTCCTCCTGATAATCCTCCAAATCCGCCTCCTCCCCCTCACAAATACCATCATCATCATCAGCAGCATCATTATCACCCCAACCACCATCTCTACCACCACCACCACCACCACCACCACACCATCATCATCATCATCATCATCATCGCATCATCATCACATCAATCATCATCATCTAATCCATCATCATCATCATCATCACATCATCATCATCACATCATCATCATCATCATCCATCACCATCACCATCCATCAAATCATCGCACCATCATCATCTTCATCTCATCATATCATCATCATCACCATCACCATCACCATCACCATCACCATCACCATCATCATCATCATCATCATCATCATCATCATTCATCTCATCATCATCATCATCATCTCATCATCACCATCCATCACCACCATCACCCTTCATCACATCATCATCATCATCATCTCATCAGCATCATCACAATCATCCTCATCATCATCATCATCAGATCATCATCATCATCATCATCATCATCATCATCATCATCATCATCATCAGCATCAATCATCATCATCATCAGCATCATCATCATCATCATCATCACCATCATCATCATCATCATCATCATCATCATCATCATCATCATCATCATCGTCATCATCATCATCATCATCATCATCATCATCAGCATCATCATCATCATCATTATCATCATCAACCTCATCATCATCATCATCATCACCATCATCATCATCATCATCATCATCATCATCATCATCATCAACATCATCATCATCATCAAAATCATGCCCAGGAACGGAGTTCTGGGAACTCGAAGACCACGAATTTGCCTACAACTGGCTCCGGGCATTCAAAATCATGCTCAGGAATGAGGTTCTGGGAACTCGAAGACCACGAAGTGGCCTACAGTTGGCTCCGGACATTCAAAAGCATGCCCAGGAATGGAGTTCTGGGAACTCGAAGAACACGAAGTGGCCTACAGTTGGCTCCGGGCTGATGCTGATGATGATGAGGATCTGGAGGATGAGGCGGATGCTGATGTTGGTGGTGATGATGATGACGATGATGGTGCCGGTGATGATGATGCTGATCCTGAGGTTGTTGGTGATGTTGATGCTGATGATGATGATGAGGAGAATGATGATGTTGACGATGATGATGATGACGATGTTGTTGATGATGATGATGGTGATGATAATGAAGATCAGGATGATGATGATGATGATGATGATGATGACGACGACGATGATGATGTTGACGCTGCTGATGATGATGGTGGTGGCTGTAGTGCTGATGGCGATTTGTTTCCGATGAAGACACAGCAGCTGAGGGCCCCTTAAACGCGACCTGGGGGCGAGGAGCCACCCAGACTTTCGGCGACAGCCGAACGCCTTATGTACACTGTGGTACCAGTCCTCTACTCAAAAGCGTTCTGACAGAGCCTGCTGAATACGACATCGTTACAGTACCCCGGTAAGGACGGAGGCACAAACTTGAAAGGCTGTAGTGCTGATGACGATGATGCTGAGAATGATTATGTTGATCATCATCATTATCATCATCATCATCATCAGCTTCACGATCAGTAGCAGCATCAGCATCAGCATTGGCATAATCATCAGCTACAGCATCATAACCACCATCGCCATCATCATCAGCATCAACATCATCATCACCATCATCGCCACCACCACCACCACCAACGCCAGCACCATCACAATCACCATCACCATCATCATCATCATCATCATCATCATCATCATCATCATCATCATCATCATCATCATCATCATCATCATCATCTGCGTCGTCAGCATCATCATCACGGGGGTTGCGCCGGCCGCAGTCCGCCTCCAGGCGTGCCCGCGGGGGGGGCGGGGCGGACCTCGCCCGGGAGTGCGCGAGCCACCGAGCCTGCGGAGCGCTTTGGCGAAGGGTCGGGCCTGACTGCCACCCTGCGCACCCGCATGTTCCATGATCCCCTGGCTGAACTTTTCCGTGGGGCTTCCCTGCCAGCGGGGCACTGCCACGCTGCCTCGGAAGCATGGCAGGTGCCCAGGGCAGGCCCAGAAGCAGTCAGAGCATTGGCCCTGCATCTCTCACACCTCGGTGTGGCCCCGTGAATACAGAGACTGCTCCGAGGCTGCGTTGGGGCCATTCGAGTTCGTCCCCAGACCGCCTTCACCTTGACCACCGCACCACCACTTCCTCCCCATCCTCCCCCTTGAGACGGTACCGCCGGGCAAGTATCTGTGGCTCGCCTGGCTGCGGAAAGTTACAATCCGCTCTCGCCCCTGCGGCCTGCGAGGGTGCCGTCGGGGACGCCAGCGGAGGCGTACCGAGAGGATAGGGCAACTAGAAGGGGCCCCTTGAAACAGCACCAACGGGCAAATATCTATGGCTTGCCAAGCTGCGGAAAGTTACAACCCGTTCTCGCTCCCGCGCCGCGGCCTGAGAGGGTGCGGTCGGGGACGCCATTGGGCGCATGCCGAGAGGATAGGACAGCTCGAGCGGCATATTGAGACTGTACCGCCAGGCAAGTATCTATGGCTCGCCCAGCTGCGGAAAGTTACAACCCACTCTCGCCCCTACGGCCTGCAAGGGTGCGGACGGGGACGCCAGTGGCGGCGTATGCCGAATGGATGGGGCAGCTCGAGCAGCAAAACCCCGCCGTAAGTGAATACTTTCGACCGATTCTGGAGGTCCGCACGGATTTCTTGGATCGGATGCCCTGCTACCCTTTGACTCGCGTGTTTCGTGGATGCAGCGTTGCATCGAGTTCTCTTCTGAGCGTCATGCAAGCTGGTCCCGCCCCCCTTCTCTCCCTGTCTCTTCCTCCCCTTCATATCAGGTCGTTGTTGTTCGTTTTGCGTACAAGTGTACACATATAAACAAACTTAGTCTGCCCACATCGAATACACGGCGTGCTGGGCGAAAGGCGTCTCAGCAAAGACCACGGAACACTTATGCCCCTGAGGTTTCCTCCGAAACGTGTTGCCGAGGAGCAGTGAAACAGAAGTAGAAAAGAAGAATCGGCATAACAGGGGTCATGAAGCTCCTCGAGTAATGACTTGCAACACGTGCCTGAAAAGCGGTCTGACCACATCTTGCCACCTGACTCTACAGGCAGGGGAACGCTCGGGCCAGAGCACGCCCAAGATGGAGATTCCAGCTGAAAGCTGAAGAAGAGAGAGGGCACCATTAAAAATCACAACCACTCTAGAGCAAGCAGTCGGTAGAAACTCAAAAACTGAAGTCGCTTAGGCGGCGAAAATGGGCGGCATGCGCTGAGGCAATGAAAACTTAGGCCGCTTGGGCCGCGCCCTAAGCGCCCGATTTACTGGGCCTTGCTGGGTAGTTTCATCCCCTGGGGCTCCCGACAGAAAATGATCCTGGCTGAGGCGGGGAGTCGAAAGCTTGTTCACATATCCACCCAGGCCAAATCAAGCAATCACGATATTTACACGAGGCTCGCCACTGCACGCAACAGGCGTTGGTCACCGAGCAGTCCCGGCCGATGCCGCTGCTCTTCGGCTGGAGCGCGCTCAGGAAGTCGGCGTGAGCCTGGCGATCGTCGTCGAGGCGGTCGAGTTCGAGCCTCTCGCCCTCTGACGTGATGCCGCCACCCTCGCAGGCCAACGCCTCCCCGCTCAAGGCAGCGAGGGGGCAGACTTCCGCGGTGCCCCCCTTTTGGCCCACGGGCTCGGGCGCGTCGGCCAGCGGCTCGGGGCCCATGCCCTCGCTGGAAGCGGCAACCTCTGACGTGATGTCGAGCCTTTCCGCTTTCCTGCCACTGAGCTTAAGCTGTGCTTGTGACTCACAGCCCAGGTGCGCCGTGACCTGGATCTCGTCGGACGTCTTCTGGTCGTCTGGGGCCCACGCGAGCTGAGTGGCGGCGCCAAGCGGGATAGTGTCGCCAGCCCGCGTCCCGAGCTGACTCTCTGCCGGGGTCTGGTCCAAGCGGCACCTCGCGCGCAACGGCGGCGAGGACTGCGTGCGGGTCCCTGCCACGACGGCGGCGGGCTCGGCCGTCACCTCAATGAACGTGTTCTTGCGCGTCACGTAAAAATGTTGCTGCGTGACGGCGAGGAGTTTGTTGAAGAACTTCTCGCGGTCAGGCTGCCCCTCCCACGCCGAGCGGCCTGCGGCGAGCGCCGGCCTAGCCGCGGCAGCCGGGGCCGCCGCGCCACCGTCAGAGCCTTCGCCGCCGCCGCAGCGCCCGCGCTGCGCGGGCCCTCCAGGGCACTGCAACCGCCTAGCTCCCGGCGGCAGTGGGGGGCAGTCGCGCGCCGGCGGGAGCGCTCTCAGCGGGCGCCTGGGGCGCTCCTCCGGGTGCCCCCGCGGCCGCCTCTCCGCGCGGCCCCGCGGCTGCCGCGGGCGGCCTGGAGGCCCCGCGTGCGGAGGCAGACGTGGAGCTGCGCCGCTCCGACTCGGGCGGGGCCCGTCCGCAGGGGCGGGCCGCCGTGCGCCTGGCGGCTGTCTGTGGGCACTGGCCTTGCTCCTGCTCGCGGCCCGGCAGCCAGTGAACTCGATGGGGGGAGAAGGTCTGCGGCGGCGGCGGCCTGCTGCAGGCTGCGGCGAGCCTGGCACCTGCATGACCTCCAGGCACTGCTCCCACTCCTGCTGCGCCCGCCGCGCCCGTGGCGCGTGCCAGGCGCGCAGCGGCAATGACACCGTCTAGAGGGCGCCAGTCGAAGCCGCCGCCCAAGAGTCACAGGTGCCGCGCTGAGCGGGGCCAGGATGCCGAAGCGGGTCGTTGAAAACGTAGAGCTGGCCGGCCTCGGGGACAAAGGATGGCGCACTGGTATTCCACACGAAGCGAGGATCCAAAGATGTCGTCAGCCCAGCTGCCTGTTCCGTTGGGCATTCTGGGGCTTTCTGGGCAACCATGGCCGCCAAGACTAATCAGGCTACGCGGGCCCGACACGTCACAGGAGAACTCAACCAACGCACATTCTGCAGCCCAAATGGCTCAAGCCACAATGGCCACGATCCTCGCCTCCCCCTCTTGAGGGGCCCATGACAGAGGGGCGACCTCACGGCCCCAACCAAGACATCCCCCCTATAGTCCTCGCCTTTCCCTCCTGGACACCCACGGCTGTCGGGCCAGAACTCTCAAGCCTCTGCGCAGCTGCTACAAGGCATGCCGTGGCGAGAAAACCTCGAAGCACACACGAAAACACTTCCTCCGATAACCAACGAAACCTCGCGGACAGGGCGCGAGCAAAACGTCGTTCGTGGTTTGAGCACCGCTTGCGTTTCAAACGGTGGACAAACGAGAACAGCGCCATCCCGCAGACAACCCCTTCTTTCCCAAACCGTCGCCCGCGGAAGCGCCAACCGAAAACAAGACGGCCGTGCGCTGGCGCCCGAGATCAGAACGGGAAAACGAAAACGGCACGCAGGCAACGTTTTGTTCGCGCCCTGCTCTCACACGCCCCCGAAAAGTCTGGGTCGGCAGCACCACCAGCAGATCATCGGGCGCAAAGCACCCCGACCTCTCCGAATGCGGTCTGACCAGAATTCCAGGGCGAATCCAGCGGTGGCGATCTGCTGCGTTACTGGTCTGATTCGTGATGTCGGTCTCCTGTGTCACTGGAAAACCATATACTGCCTTCTTGTATGCACTGCCGATGAGCTGCACCGCCTGTGCAACATCGAAAGCCGAGAGCGGCGCGCGCTGCGTCCGCGACTGCATCTCGATAGCAGGCGGCGCAGCACGTTGCTGAGGCTGCTGCGGCCGAGACGGCGGGACCTGCTCCCTCATGTGCTCCTCCTCCTCCTCCTCCTCCTCCTCCTCCTCCTGCTCCTCCTCCTGCTCCTCCTCCTCCTCCTCCTCCTCCTGACAATAGGCTGAGTGGGGGGGGAGGCGACGGGCCCCCCGCTGGCCGAGACAAGCTGGGCGAGCCTGGAAACATTTCGGTCTGCGAGTTCGGCTGCGACGGGCTGGGCACGACGGTGGGCTCCGAGCTCGGGTCCGCGGCCTCGGGCGTAGGATGATCCTCTGTCGGGTCGGGCGAAAGGGGGGGATAGCAAAGCGGGGGTTTGAGAATCAGCTCACGTAGCTGGTTTCCCCGGCGCCTCCTGGCGCCTGAGGCGGCGATGTATCGAGGAATGAGCCCCTCGGTGAGGCCGAAACCAGCTGCATGCAGCAAATTTCGTAACCCCCCCTTTCCCAATCCCCCCCTTTCGCCCGGCCCGACTCTGGTAGTTCCGCAGGCTCTGTCGGGGACAATGGCGAGCGCTGAGCATTCGGGACCGTCGACGGAGTCGGGGCTGGCGCTGGAGAGAAACGCACCTTCGAGCGAGCCCTCCTGATGACTGTGGGGGTCCGCGGGGCTGGGGCCACTGGACCCGCGGAGGCGGCATCTGACTGGGGGGACGGAGGAGGCGGCGGTGGCGGTGGTGGGGGCGCTTCTTCCCCAGCCTGGCCCGCTGCAGATTGTCCGCTGCTGAGGGGCTGCTGCCGGAGATTCCACTTCTGTGGGACTGGAGGTAAAGTCTGGCCTGGCTGCTGTAGCGACTGCTGATGCTGCTGCGACTGTTACTGCGGGATGGGAACCTGCTGAGGCAGCTGCTGTTGCTGCTGGGGCGGCTGCTGGCTGTGCCCCTTGACGATCCTTTTGAGACTGATGTGGTAGAGCTGCTGAATCATAAAGTCCTGCTGAGCGAGCTTGTTCGCTAGCTGTATCACAGTCGCCGAGAGCTGGTCTCGCTGCGGGTCTCTGGAAACCAACCTTCCATGCTGGTCGTATATGTGTTGATCTGGCGCCCCCTGCAATGCGGAACGCTGGGGAATGGTCGCCTTTTGACTGAGCCACAGGCTGCGGGAGAGGGGGCGGGTGCGCAGCCTGGTTGTGCCATGGTGGTGCGGGCTGCTGACCAGACGAGGAGGAGGCCCCAGGCTGCTGGGGGGATGGCTGGCCATGCTGGTCGCGTGTGATCGTCAACACCATCATCATCATCATCATCATCATCATCATCATCATCATCATCATCATCATCATCATCATCATCATCATCATCATCATCATCATCACTATCATCACCATCATCATCATCATCATCATCATCATCATCATCATCATCATCATCATCATCGTCAGCATCATCATCATCAGTATCGACATCATCATCAGCATCATCAGTATCGACATCAGCATCATCATCACCATCACCATCATCATCAGCATCAGCATCATCATCACCATCATTATCCGCCTCATCTTCCACATCGTCATCGTCAACATCATCAGCATCACCACCAACAACCTCAGCATCAGCCTCAGCATCAGCGGCAGCATCAGCATCAGCATCAGCATCGACATCGTCATCAGCAACAGCATCATCACCAACATCGCCATCAGCATCAGCATCAATATCATCATCATCATCATCATCATGATCGCCACCACCACCACCACAAGCACCAGCACCAGCACCAGCACCATCACCATCACCATCATCATCATCATCATCATCATCATCATCATCATCATCATCATCAGCATCATCATCATCATCATCATCATCATCATCAGCATCGTCATCATCATCATCATCATCAGCATCATCACCACTGACGTCACCACCATCATCCTCACCATCATCGTCAGCAACATCATCATTCTCCTCCTCATCATCATCAGCATCATCATCAGCATTATCATCATAATAATCAGCAGCATCATCGTCATCATCGTCATCAGCATCATCATCATCATCATCATCATCATCATCATCATCATCAACGTCATCATCATGAGTACCATCAGCAGCATCATCATCACCATCATCACCGTCAACGTCATCGTCAGCCGCATCATCATCAGAAGCATCATCATCATCATCATCATCATCATCATCATCATCATCATCATCATCATCGGCATCATCCGTATCGGCATCATCATCATCATCAGCAGCATCAGCAGCAAAATCAGCATCGTCAGCCCCATCATCATCATCATCATCATCATCATCATCATCATCATCATCATCGTCGTCATCATCAGCATCATCATCATCATCGTCATCATCAGCATCATCAGCATCAGCATCGCATCAGCATCAGCATCATCAGCATCATCATCATCATCATCATCATCATCATGATCATCATCATCATCATCATTAACGTCAACAGCATCATCAGAAGCAGCAGCTGCATCATCATCAGCAGCATCATCAGCATCAGCATCAGCATCAGCATCAGCATCAGCATCAGCATCAGCATCAGCATCAGCAGCATCATCATCATCATCATCATCATCATCATCATCATCATCATTGTCAGCGTCATCGGAATCATCATCATCACCATCAGCAGCATCAGAAGCGTCATCATCATCATCACCATCATCACATCACTGCAAACAGCATCATCATCATCAACACCATCATCGTTACCACCATCATCAAAAACATAATTGTCAACGTCACCGTCATCATCATCACCACCACCCTCATCTTCATCGTCATCATCAGCAGCATCAGCATCATCACCATCATGATAAATCAGTCTCATCATTGGCATCAGTATCACCACCACCACCATCATCATCAATATCAGCATCATCATCACCACCACCACGACCATCATCACAAGCACCATCAACAACAATATCCTCAGCGGCATTATCACCACCATCACCGTCAGCAAGATCATCGGCATGATCCTCAGCATCATCACCATCGTCTCTCTTCACCCCAGGAGGGAGACGCGGCCCCGAGCGCCTGGAGGCC